TCTCGCGGTTCAGGCTCTCGAATCAGAGGCTAGGGGCAGGGTCCCCGAACGTAACCTTACGTCCTCCGTTTACACTGTTGTTCAGACTTTTGAGTGTGCTGTGTCTCAAACGAGAATTGAAGATGCAAGCACAGTGATTGAGCTAACTGCTCCGTCAATCTCCACTCGCTTCCGGCTGCGCACCTCTGGTAATCCAGAGGCTGCTGCGGCGGGATGTACAGGGGTTGGTATCGTGCTAAGTCACTGGATGGAAGTATCCTTACCTGACTGGATACCTGTTGATAGTCGCCTCTGTGCGGTTCGTCTGGCAACGGCTGTGAAGGAGTCTCACAAGCGGCAAGTTGTTAGATGCCTATATATCGTGTCTGCCTACTCCCCAACTGACTGTAGCTCCGACGCCGTCAAAGACAGTTTTTATGACGCCCTGAATGCCCTGCTGCGGCGAGCTTAAAGCTCAGACATGGTGGTGTTTACCGGAGATACGAATGCACAAGTGGACAGGCTTAGTGCATCTGAGACTCAATAAGAAGGTCGACATGGATTGGACTCGGTACGTACGGACAATGGGGAACGATTTCTTCAGCTGTGTGCTGATCGTAGGCTGTTTTATGCAGTGCTAACTTCCGAAATAGCCGAACTGGTCTGGCCACATGGTGTCCTCCAACGGCAGACCGGCCACAAACTGAAATCGACCACATTGCCATCAGTTACCGATGGCGCCTGTCGTTTTGGAACACAGCCAGTCCCGAACATAACCCGGTGCGAAGAATTATCAAACGACAAGTGAAAGTCAGCGGGCAAGCTACCGGGAAGTGTGGTGGACACAGAAAGCCAAGCTAATGGAAGAGGCCCAGAAAGCCGTTAAAGTCCGAAGATTATTTCAGTCGATCCGCGCGACGGGGCCTCGGAAACCACCAGGAATCAGAAGGGAGTGACCATCTCGAATAAAGAACACATCGACCGGTGGGCTGAATACTTCGAACAACAACTGTCGTGACCACCAGCTGGCACTCATCTAGAGCCCACAGGCGAAGTACAACCCTGGATGGTGAACGTGGAACCACCTACGGCCTCGGCGGTTTACGACTGCATATGTTCTCTCAAGCGGCACCGAGCTCCCGGTCCGGATGACCTTCCACCTGCACTGTTCAAAGATGGGGGTGAAGTCCTCAGTCAGCGCCTGTCCGACCTGTTTGCTTGCATTTGG